ACTTTCTAGAGAATACTATTATGGCTGTGGGATCCACAAACATATGGACCAAGATGTTTTTGAGGCAATGGATGCTTTTCTTCAATACAAGGTTAGGTGGAAGTAAACCGTTTAACATGAATAAGAAAACCTCCATTCTTAGTAGAAAAAGGATGTTAACAAACCAATAGAACAAAGAAATTGCAGATATTTTCTAAATATTAAATACCTTCCAGGAAAACTTTAAGAAAGTTATTGATGTCAAGAGGAACTTACAAAACTTGTTCTCTTTTCTACCTTTATTCTCTAGAAGTTTACATTTGCCTATGCTCAGGTTGTCAAAGTTAGCAAAGCTGTTGGCAGTTTCAATGCATTTTCCTTGCAAATGAATTTGTTGTTATATGTGGCCAATCATGTGGACTGCCACGTGTGACACTTCAATATAGTCTCATGTGATAATGCCCCACAAAAAGCTTAGTTGTGAGCTTTGAGAATTCAGTTGAGGAAGGAAAATTGCAAAATTATGAATATGTTATTATTATTTTTTCTTTAATTTCTTACTTACACATCATCTCACACTTCAATGGAACATCAATGGATTCTCTTTTGTCTGTGCACATACATTAACATCATTACTTTTTCAATTGATAAATTTCTATTTTATCTTGATTCATTTGCGTGTGTTTTGGTTAGTTGAGATGTTTGTTTACTAATTCATTGTGAAAGCCTTAATTTACAATGTGATAAGCATCTCTCTCTCTCTCTCTCTACACAACCTGTATTTATAATAATATATAATATTTAAAATAAATAAACAAATCAAAGGTGTTTTAAATTTGTTAGAATTTTATTTTGTTAAAAATATTTTATATTGTGGGTACATGGAATATGGAAAGGGAATATAGAAAATGTGCATATCAATTCACCTATAACCTAGTTTATATACAAGAGCAAGTAATTCGAATTGAAACTAATCCACGACTACCAAAATCCCACTATATTAATATTAATATATAACATCGTAACGTACACTTGAACCTCACATCATCCCCTCCTCATTAGCAGATTGTAAGCTCTTGAGTTTGGACTTCCCGGGAGGTCACCCAGCCCAGTATTATTCACACCCAAGACGCTTAACCCAAAATATCCCAAGACCCTTAAGCTCTTGAGTTTGGACTTCCCGGGAAGTCACCCAGCCCAGTATTATTCATACCCAAGACGCTTAACCCCAAATATCCCAAGACCCTTAAACTCTTGAGTTTGGACTTTCCGGGAGGTCACCCAACCCAATATTATTCACACCCAATATGCTTAACCCCAAATATCCCAAGACCCTTAACCGTTTGGAAAAAAGGGTGCACTTTTGTTCATGGGCCCTTTCCCTCTATATTTGAACCCCTATGGATCGTCTCTCAAGTCGTTCCCTTTGGTTGCTTACAATCCACCACACTTCCCTGCAAGTTCACGCCCTCGTGACGCCCTCGTGAACGGAAGCTGAGAGCCGCAGCTCTCATAAGAGCCCCGCTCTCTTGACACCCTACCCCTCGGGTCGAGCCCAGTGGGAGCAAACTGGATCAGCCAGATGTCAATCAACATATGGTGTGATTCCCTTAGCCAACCCCAAATATCCCAAGACCTTTAAGCTCTTGAGTTTGGACTTCCCGGGAGGTCACCCAACCCAGTATTATTCACACCCAAGACGCTTAACCCCAAATATCCCAAGACCCTTAACCGTTTGGAAAAAGGGGTGCACTTTTGTTCATGGGCCCTTTCCCTCTATATTTGAACCCCTATGGATCGTCTCTCAAGTCGTTCCCTTTGGTTGCTTATAATCCACCACACTTCCCTGCAAGTTCACGCCCTCGTGACGCCCTCGTGAACGGAAGCTGAGAGCCGCAGCTCTCATAAGAGAGCCACTCTCTTGACACCCTACCCCTCGGGTCGAGCCCAGTGGGAGCAAACTGGATCAGCCAGATGTCAATCAACATATGGTGTGATTCCCTTAGCCAACCAACAGAGTCGGACCCGAGACTGCTCTGATACCAAATGTAAGCTCCTGAGTTTGGACTTCCCGGGAGGTCACCCAACCCAGTACTATTCACACCCAAGGACGCTTAACCCCAAATATCCCAATACCCTTAACCGTTTGGAAAAGGGGGTGCACTCTTGTTCATGGGCCCTTTCCCTCTATATTTGAACCCCTATGGATCGTCTCTCAAGTCGTTCCCTTTAGTTGCTTACACAGATTTGTAAGTGGTATCAGTTATTTCTGATCCCTTTGTACAAAGCATTTCAATTGTTGCACATGCACAATTTCTGGAGGATCGGCAGGTTGAACGTTATGCCAAACCTCATAAACTTGCGGTCCAACTAGTCACAGGTGATCCTAGTGCATATGGACTAAGAAATAAAATGGTTTCCTTGGTAAGGGCAAGCTTTCAAGGTTTGCTATTTGGATGAATCTATGAACATAAATAATATTTATTGAAATATATGTTATAAAATATTTTTTTAACAAAATATTTATTCTTAGTGAGAATAAGTCTAACAAATTTAAAACAGTATAACAACCTATTATATTTCGTAAAAGAGAGAGAAACAAAAATCAATGGCTATGGCTTTGCAAATTAAGACTTTCTTAGGGAATTTGTAAATAAACATTTTGACTAACCAAAACATATGCAAGTGAATCAATATATAATAAAAAAACATCAATTAAAAGAGTGATGATGTTAATCTATGTGTATAGATAAAAGAGAATCCATTGGTATTCCACTCTAATTCTTGTAAAAGATTGCAGTGTGAGGTGACGTATAAATAAAAAATTAAACAAAAAAGAAAACAATGTAATAACACATTTATAATTTTGCAATTTTTCTTTCTCAAATAAATTCTTAAGAGGTCACAATTAAGCTTTTGTGGGACAGCATCCAAGTGACTCATAAAGATCTTTAGAAAGATTATGATGCTGTTACTGTTGAATATTGTTGGAAAAAAAATAAGAATTTCAAATATATAAAAAAGAAAATTAAATTTGCAATAACTCTTAGTAGTGTTATTACTTATTAATTTATTAATCTAATTGATCAATAAAATTTATAATTTATAAAAACAATCTTAAAATAAACTAGAATATACTAGGAAGTGTTTAGGAAAATTTTTAAATTATAAATATAAGATTAATCTAAACAAATAACAACCATTAGATGGTATAAATCCCAAAATATCTAAGAATATTTTAAATATTTTGCATTCCTGCACTCACAAGCAAGCTTCTCAATCTCCACAGCTGTTGCCGGAAGTGTCAGGCATTACATGAACAGGCTTGGTACCTGTTGAAAACAACATCGTTTTAAGTTGAGAAAGCTGGAAACAAAGCTTTCTATGTCGGTAGCTTGCTTTGCAGCATCTGACCACCCTTTCCAAAGACGGCATTCTCAGTTCAAATTTTCGGTTGGCCGAAACTCAAACCACGAATCAAAAGAGCAGGGCACGAACTCACAAACTTGGAAAACTTCTTGGATTTTCCATAGCCAATTGACTTCACCTTCAAGCAGCAGCGAACCAATCCGTCCAACTCAACTCCTCTAGGATAGTGAAATCTAGAAAGAGTGTAAGTTCGGGCAGGTTGCAGCCTGCTGCCGTTGGATACAAAACGAAACCTGCTTTAAAGCCTCAAAGAGCCTAGAAATGTTGACAGGCGGCGTGTGGATGCGGACCAGGCCTTTCACGCAGGGTGCTGCACAAAGCAGCCTCGATCACCTCGGGATCATCAGGAAACTCGCGCAAAAAGTTGAGCTCCAGTAGCTCCTCCACTGCTTGCACACTTGACCTAGCTCCAATGCTCGAGCAAGATCTGAACAACAGCTCAGGCCCTCATTCTCACCATGACAGGGTATTCATAGCTTTTTAGCACTTAGTTTCTTCTTGACAAGGTTTTTCTGCACATCGAGGTCACAACGGAGCTCGAGCTCAAACTTCTCGTTTTCTTGGTTTTGATGCGGTGCTGCTGTGCCGGATGAGGTGCTCATCCAGATCATGTCGTGCATTTCTCAAGCAACACGCGCGTGCCTGGCACTCCATCCGCTTGTTTTGCAGGCCTCCGCCAGCTTCTTTCAGCACCAGCCGTATTGCAGCCCCAAAGGCTCTACGCGTTGAGCATCTCCGCCGTCAGCCCGCAGCAAGTTCGATGGCTTCTGTCCAAAATGTCGGCGTGCAAGGAGCAACGCTGTCTCCACGTCGAGCTCCTCTTTCTCACCCTCCGCGCAAGCCATTTGCCCCGTTTGGGCATTTGTTCCAAGCTCGACTGATTCTTATTCCTAGCTGCACCCTCATCAGCTAGCCTTCGGACTTCTGGACCCTTTTTTACAAGTCGATTCTTCGAACTTTGGGAGTTCAGAGGAGCTCAAGGCTTTGAACCGAGAAACTGTGCTCCAGATAATGGAGCTCGACACACAAAAACTCTCTTTTTCTCAAATTTTCCTTTATTTTTGCATGGTTCTCCAGGCCAGAGTGACACAGTCGTATTCTAAGCTTCACACGCGTATAAATCCACGTGCACACGCACTGTGAGAATTTATGTGTCACTTGATTGTATCGTCATCTACATATCGACCGAACTTCTTCATGAACAATCAAATTCCTGGGAAAATTGAAGGAACAGATATAGCCTGTGACTTTCCTTCCAATCAGTGTGCTTGATCAATCTCATTCGCTGCAACGCTTTCTAAGAACGTTCAAACACAAGGTAATTGAATCTAGAGAGTTAACTACATGGACACGAGTACAATCTAAACCACAGTGTATGTCCTCCTACGAACATTGTAAACAACGTTGAATGCATGTTGTGTCAAAGATGGTCTAGATTCTGGACTCCAGAACACGCACTAACACCGAGCATCGTGGGATGCAGCCGACATTGTACCTTGGACAGGGATTGGAATAAAACAGATGTAAAGCCAGAATCACATCTGCCGCCCATATTAACTTTGGGAGGGACTTTGGGCAAAGAGAACCTAAAGTGAAGGGCTCTAATGGAATACTGAGTTGGCCTCAAATAAAGAATTCAGCGAATAAAGCCTCAAGCGTGATCGCAAGTCACGCCATCTATAAAATAAATGCCAGTGAACCGTAATGAAAGCGGGCGGGAGGCCGTTTAGGAGATAAAACGCTGTGATCACAGTCTTGGAAGCCTTTGGAAGAACTGGAAGTCGAGAGGCCATGGCAAGCGAAGGGAGAGGAAGTGATCGACATGCGGCAGCTGCTCTGCAAGAAACCATGGTAAGCAAGAAAAAACTCTCTCTCTAATCCATACCCTTCCTTTTTTTCTTTTCGCCTTGTGAATCCAGGAAGAACCTTGCAGTCGTGCTTTTCGTTTGAAGCTGTGTCACAACGAAAGCATCAGATTAGTGATGGTTACGTTGCAGCTAAGCATGCAGGCTCTGGTGGAAGCCATCAAGAAAACTTTCAGCGAGCTGAAGAGCGCGAGCGGCATCGTCATCAGCTACGGCGACTCGGAAGGAGAAACAATCACAGTCGAGACGGACGAGGACCTGAATCTAGCACTCGGGGACATGTCTGCGAGCCAGGCCGTGCCAAGGTTTTCGGTGCGAGAGAAAGCAATGGCGACGGGTCTTGCTCCTGCAAAGCCTTCCAGTCAGGCAGGACCATGCAAGTTTTTCCAGAGTGGCTACTGCCGAAATGGATCAAGATGCAAGTTTTCACACTCGAGCAACAACAGCAGCACGGGAAGTACCAGCATCGTGAGACCGGTGCTGCTGTCTGCGTGGTCGATTGAGAGGTGGCTCGAGAATCTGATAGGAAGATCCCCGGCAGACAACATCGAGGAGCTGAGCTCGCCACCGGGACTAGAGATGCTATGCAAGGTAGCTTCAAGCTTGCAGCTCACGCGCAAGGCGGCTGATATGCTCGCGAAGCTGCTGACCAGGGATGAAATGCGGTCTAGCATGCTCAGGCACGAGACAAACAAGATATATGGATCACTGGCCGACTCGAGGTATGCGATGCAGCTCCAAGCTCACATGACCAATCAGATGCCACGCACGGACGAAGGTTTAAAGCCATACCTGTTGCTGATTGAAGAGCTGCAGCTGCGAACTTCCGATGGATGGAAGTATCTCCCCCTAGACGCCGCCGAGAAGCTGATCGCAGAGCTTCCGGAAACGCCCTTGAGGGACGAGCTAGGCGAAAGGTTGGGGGTACTGCTCGAGCACAGGAGAAAACTCCGGCTACAAATGGCCACATCAGATCCTGACGCAAGTTTACAGGCAAGTTCTGATGAAAAGAGATTGTTTTTCGAAAAACTTACGTTGAATGACGATGCAGGGACCGGTGTTCCGCAAGATACCGATAATTCCCAGCAAGGACGAGCTCCTCAGCGTCATCCCAACCGCAGTTCCGGTCAATAAAGTTGGGCTTCGTTACACCTCAGTTCTGGAGTACTTAGAGACGCACTTCCGGCTGCTGCGAGAGGACTTCATCAATCCACTCAGGCAAGGGATAAAGCAGTACATAAACAGGCAGGGAGGATACTTTGCGGAGGTGAGGATATATAGCAATGTGGAGCTGAAAGGAGTACGTTTCACACTAAACGGGATAGAAAACAAGGTGTCGTTCGTTGCAGAGAAAGTCAGGAACAAAACGAGGGAGATAAACTGGGAGCAGAGCAAACGGTTGATGTTTGGCTCCTTGCTGTGCATGTCAAGGGATAACTTTCAGACCATTACCTGGGCAACGGTGGCAGGAAGGAAAGAGTTGGCTCAGAATATGGTGGACCTTCGTCTTTTAGATGGAAGTGATCTCGACGCATCATTCAAATACGTCATGGTCGAGTCTGCAGCAGCATACTTCGAAGCTTATTCTCACGTTTTGAAAAGCTTGCAACGAGAGGACATGGAAAACATACCTTTCAAGTCGCATTTGATATCGTTAGTGAAGCATGTGAAGGAGCCAGCGTACTTGCCACAGAGAGCAGAGGGCGATAGATACGACTTCAGCTCTGCTTTCCCTGGAGGCACGAAAGAATTCGGTCAGTTCAAGTTTCATATACTGCAAGATTGGCCTGAGTGGAACTCAACCCTGGACTCGAGCCAGGTCGCAGCATTGAAGCACGCTTTGACGAAAAACCTCGCACTGATTCAAGGACCACCCGGCACTGGAAAGACGTTCGTCGGGATGCTTATCGTGAAGTTGCTGCTTGCAAATCTAAAGAGGGAGGCTACAAAGACAAGACACTTTAGCACTGCAGAAGATGTTCCCGACCTCTGTGGACCTGTTTTGATTGTCTGCTACACGAACCATGCACTGGACCAGTTCCTGGAAGGAATTTTTCGTTCTGAGAAAAATGTGATCAGGATAGGAGGTCGAAGCAAAAACAAGCAGCTAGATGGCCGCAATCTGCAGAATCTTTTACAGCTAGCAAGGGAGAACCGGGATGTGCAGGGAGCTTACGTGAGAAAGGCAGTGGCTGCTAGAGACGACCGGAGGCGACTAGAGGCAGAAATACGCCGGTGTGTGGATGAGCTGAATCTTCCCTATGTGACAGAAACTCTTCTTCACGGTGTAGCGACAGAAGATCAGATAACAAATTTATTCTACCTGGGACGCACGAGCGCATTAGCAGGAAAGAAGGTGGTAGAAGCCTGGCTGGAAGCTGAAAATCTCAGATACGTTGATGTTCCAGCTCGAAGAGTTGAGCAAGTAGCTAACAGGTATGCCGTTCTGGATGATGAAGTCGAAGCAGCGGACCTGCATGACCAAACGGTAAATGTTCCCCGCGAAGAAGGGAGACGTACCCAAGGCTTGGCTGCTCCAGGGGATGGTGGTTGGGTACACGTCCAGACTCGGCGTCGGAATCGTCCGGTTGAAGCAGTTGAGCAGCAGCAGGATCCAGTTGTGAACAATGCACACCGTGACGAGGTTCCACTTGAGCTCCTGGTAGATTATCCTGACGTTTGGAGCCTTCCTCTGAGGGAACGAAAGAGGCTGCACGAGTATTGGCTTGATGAGATACATGCCAACGCTCAGAAAGAACTTACCAGGTTCAAACAGGAGTATGAGGCCGCTTGCATTGAGTGCAAGGCAGCAGATAGTGAGATCCAGTTGAGTTTGCTGAGGAGGGCGAAAGTCATCGGAATGACCACGACCGCCGCTGCTCGTTTGCATGACATTCTCGTAGCGCTCAAACCTGAGATTGTGGTCGTGGAAGAAGCAGCAGAGGTACTGGAGAGCCACATCCTTGCTTGCATAAGCCCGTATACCAAACATCTGATCCTCATCGGCGACCACTTGCAGCTGCGGCCATCGGTCGCCACCTTCAGGCTGGCTCAGAGGCATAAGTTGGACGTTTCCATGTTTGAGAGGCTGGTACAGAGCGGAGTCGAGCACACCATGCTGAAGACGCAGAGGAGGATGAAGCCTTGCATTGCGAAGCTGATCTCGTCCATCTATCCACAGCTGAGGAACCACCCTTCTGTACTCGAGTATGAGGACGTGAAGGGAGTCAAGTCGAGTTTGTTCTTCCTTGATCACAATGCACCTGAAGAAGCCGGTCACGAAGCTGGAAGTAAAGTCAATCTTGCGGAGGCCAAGCTTGTTGTGGAGCTCTGCAGCTATCTCCTCAAACAAGAAGCATACGCCCCAGGAGATATGACGATACTGACCATGTACAAGGGACAGGTCCAGGAGATAAGCAGGAGGCTGAAAGACCGCTTTCAGTGTCGCCGGGTAACGGGAAGACCGCTTGGACCTGAAGCCGAAAACTCAGAAGCCACGGATAGTTGGATGCCGAGAGTGTCCAGTGTGGATGATTTTCAGGGAGAAGAAAACGATATCATTCTGTTGTCGCTGGTCCGGAGCAACCTGGTACCTGGTAAGGAAGACGAAGGCACCATTGGTTTCCTCAAAACTGGCAACCGCGTCTGCGTGGCGCTCTCCAGAGCTCGCAAGGGACTGTATATCTTTGGGAATGCACAGCTGCTGGCGCTCAAAAGTCCTCTCTGGAAAGGCATACTTCACGGTCTCCACCAAGACGGACTTATGGGCTCCAAGCTCGTCCTCTGCTGCCAGAACCATCCAGGTGTGGAAACGAGCGTGCAGCATGCCGAGGATTTTCTCCAGGTTGGCGATGGTGGCTGCAGCAGACCCTGTGAATATCAGCTGGAGTGTGGCCATGCCTGCCCGAGAAGGTGTCACCCGGAATCTCACGACACTTTTATATGTCCGAAGATGTGCCTCAAGCCATATGACGGATGCACCCATCGTTGCGTGAAGTCTTGCCACGGGAGGGAAGACCCGGCCTGTCCGCCATGCAAAGAACCGGTGCTGAAGACGTTTCCAACCTGCGGACACGAACAATCAGTGCCGTGTTCGACTGATCCTGCGAAACTTACTTGCCGGAGTCCATGCAAGAAGTTACTCTCATGCGGCCATGCCTGTCCGGAGCCTTGCGGATTGCCGTGTGCAAAGTTGTGCAGGCAAGTTGTCCGCAAAGAACTGCCCTGCGGCCATGCGACGAAGATGATGTGTCCTCAAGATCCATGGACGTTTTCCTGCCTTGAGCCGTGCAGAGATATCCTTCCAGACTGCGAACACAGATGTGGAGGAACATGTGGTAAGTGCAAGCAAGGAACGGAACACATACCATGCCAGCGGCCGTGCAAAAGAGATCTCTTTTGCGGACACCAATGCAAAGCGAGGTGCTCCGCTTCATGTCCACCTTGCTCGGAGCCTTGCCAGAAACGCTGCTTGCACAGCAGATGCGCCGCCATCTGTGGAGCACCATGCAAGCAGTGCCTCGAGCCTTGTTCCTGGAACTGCCGGCACTTCAGCTGCACGCTTCTCTGCTGCGAGATCTGCCAGAGACCACGCTGTGACAGGCCATGCACGAAGCGGCTCGTCTGCGGTCATCCCTGCATCGGCCTGTGTGGAGAGCCTTGCCCAAGTGCCTGCCGCGTTTGCCAACCTGGTACTTTTGATGCAATCACACAGCTGACGTTGGAGGAAAGCGAGAGTTCCGACAGATTCGTCGAGCTTCTGGACTGCGGGCACATCTTCGAAGTAACTGGACTGGATCAATGGATGGATATGGATGACAGTGCGGAAACTTGCTCCAAAGCAATCGTCCTTAAGTTCTGGTAAGTTGACCACCTTGATTCGATGTTAATCTATTCTTTTGTTTCTTTGCAGCCCCGCATGCAAGACGCCTGTTCGGAAGTCTTTCCGCTATGCGAACGTAGTGAAGAAAAAACTGCATCAGATAGAGCTCGTCAAGATGAAAGTTTATGGACATGAGCAGACAAGAGCAGGAATGGGCATGCTAAGCAGGAAAGAATACAGGCAGGCATTCCAAATTTTCACGGAAGTCATCAAAAACCAGCCCGGGAACTTCGAAGCACACCTTGGAATGGCTCAAGCTCTACGCGGCTTGAAAGAATTCGGGTACGCAGTTACTCACCTCCGATTTATAGCCGAGAGAAGCAGCCTTGCCGCCGATATCCGAAGTTTGCCAGTACCACGACTCAAGAGGCCATACACTCCGGTCCCCAGCAGCTTAAACTTGAGCTTTGTGGCAGTTCCAAGCCGATCTCTCACGATCCAAGCGCTCATCCAGTGGGGATCGGCACTGACAAGCCTGACAGAATTCTCCGACGCTGTGAGACTCTGTGAGATCGTTCTCAAGCACGACAGCACCAACGGTAGCGGCAAACGCTTGAAAGAAATGGCGGAGAAACGACTAACTCACCAGGTAGTGGAAGCCGTGAGCGCCGAGTTCTCAGCCAGGGGGCACTGGTACCAGTGTCCAAACGGTCATGTCTATGTTGTGGGAGAATGCGGCGGCCCAATGCAGACATCGCACTGCCCTGACTGTGGATCGATCATCGGCGGCGAGCATCATCAATCAGCTGCTGGGAACACGCACTCGACGATCGATGGGAGCGACCACGCGCTCTACAGCGATCATACCGAGCCCTACTAGGGTTTAAGGTTCAGGTGTTTGAAATAGGTTGACTCTAATATCCGTTATATGCCGATAGTTTCAGCGCGAGTTTCCTGACGATCCCAAGGTAATCGAGGATGCTTTATGCAGCCCTGCATGAAAGGCCAAACACACCCATTTCTAGGCTCTCATTTCTCTCTTGATTTCCTGTAAATCAATTGTGAGTGTAAAACTGAGGGAATAAAATTGAGGGAATATTCCATCTTTCGCAAAGGGAGGTTAAAAGTATTAGCTCAGTTATTACCTTTGGACTGATGCTCAAGTAGGGGCTCATGCATTAGGTAGCCAAGTTCCAATCCAAGTCCAGCCAGGGCGGGTGAAAGTTGCGTGTGTGTGTTCTCACCGTGCGTAGGCTTCACTCAGCTGTTGAGGGCTTTGGCTTGCCTTGGCACTTGAAGCATGACCCTTGCAGCTGTGGCATCTTAGTTGATGTTGGCTGTGCATTGCCTTTGCTCCATCTCTGGGTGCAAGGACCTGTGTGCCTTGCATCCTCAGACGGTAGTTACCTGGTTGATCCTGCCAGCAGTCATATGCTTGTCTCAAAGATTAAGCCATGCATGTGTAAGTATAAACTGCTTTGTACTGTGAAACTACGAATGGCTCATTAAATCAGTAATAAAGAAACAAGAATTAAAATGCCTGTCATTAAGATCACAAAGAGGGGGTGTGCCCAAGCTATGGTGGTGCTGACATTAACGAGAAGAAAAAAACTAGCATAAGAACCAGAACCTTTGGCAGCCTTGCTGCAGTATTGTAAAATTAAGTTTCAGTAGTTTCTGGTGAATGTCACATTCACCAGTCTTCACTAATGCATTGCCCAGAATCTTAAGGATGATTAGTGAAGACTAGCACACCCACCAAAAATTACTGGAGCTCAATATTTGTAGCAAAGCTGCCAAAGGTTTTGATTCTTGCATTGGTCTTTTGCTTCTTGTCAACGGCACAACCTTTTGTTAATATGCCTCAGCACTACCATAACTCAGCCCTCTTGGTAATCTTAACGATAGTACAATCCCCTAGAGCTTCTTTACTTCTAACTTCCCCCTGTTCTAACAGTGACTTACTGCTGACGTGGCGAAAGATGGAATATTTCCCTGGTTCTATATCGAGCTGGACGGATTTAGTTCGCTGCTGCTTGCAGTGAAGTAAGTTGGCTATATGGAAAAGCCAAGAAGTTGTCCAAATTTGTGAGTTCGTGCCCTGCTCTAGAGATGCTTGTGCTCTACTGGGCAGCCGAGATCGCGCTCCAAGTTCACTAGGCCAGTCTCAAGTTCCTCAAGTGTCTTGGAACTACACATTATGACGGAAGCCTCAAACTGAATGCTCCCAACCTTGAAGTCCTGGATGTGGGTGTTAGTTGGTGCAGTAATAGAGAACCATAGTTTGAGGCTAAGCTCATCTGTTAAAGAAGAAAAGAGCTTAATACATTGACAATGTTGCATGAATACATGATAGACGGGAATATCTTTGATGTGTGAAGGGTTGACATCTCTCTTTGACAGAGAGATGTCGCACGCCAGCCATGAGCCGCCAGTGATAGGCAGTAGGCTTTTTACTTGTGGCAGAATATACCAAATTCTCAAACAATTTCTCTGACAATGCCGTCTTTGGAAAAGGTGGTCGGAGACTGTCATGCTGCAAACCAAGCTACCAACATAGAAAGCTTTGTTTCCACCTTTCTTAACTCGTCTCCCAAGTTAGAGCTCCGAACTTATCTTCCAAGTACAGGAAGGATGTGCCGTCTGATCCACGAGTAAGAATAGCACGTTCCGAAGCTGATAAACAGCTTGTACAAGCAATCAAGTTTGTTCCACCGTTTGGTTTGAGGATGAGTGCACATTACCTGAGCTTCCTCCACTAACTGAGTTAAAGAGCGACAACCAGGCCAACCAGAGTTCGACATTGATGAGGCAGACTGGAAATGTAATCTGCATGAAGTCCGACATTTTCAAGGTAAAGCATCTCGTTTAGCATCCCGCTTGTTAGAACCATTCTTCTGTCGCGGTTTCTTCCCGGCTCAGGAGATACGAATTGTGAAGAAGCAGGTAAGTAGATATACATGATGCTGTTTTCAACAGGTACTAAGCCATGTATTGTTCATGTTGTGCCTGACTTCTATCACACTTCCGGCATCAGCTGTGCAGCTTGAGAAGCTTGCTTGTGAGTGCAGTAATGCAACATTTGGAAAAGGTAAATACTCTGCCTAAGACAGAGAATTGTGTTAAGAGGACTTCATGACGTTCAGATGTTTATGATCCGAGCTATCGCAAGCCACTGAAGCTCAATCCTGAAGAGTTCGTGTCAGACTTCCATCCAGCAAACTATGGGATTTTGGATATAGTGAGGGACACACTAGTCCCAAACGCAACCAGCCTCGGGCTGGGCTGCACAAGCTGGGGACTATTTCAAAACACACGTAGATACACCTCTGCATCTCTGGTGGTAGTGCTTCCAGGCAATCACAGTGGTGGGGAACTTGTAGAGCGACATGGAAAAGTGGAGAAAAGCCGAGGAGAACCAGAGCAATAACAATATCCACTTGCCAGCTTTCTATTCCGACTGTGAGCATGAAGTTAAATCCGGATACAGGCTCCTGTTGACATACAATCTTTACAGCAACGGGGTAAAATCCCTATCATTGTCCAGTTTAGCTGATCATACTGGCTCCACAATCGAAGCTCGACTCCAATTTAAGGAGTAGCAGACGGCTGTTGGTGGGATTCCCCTGTGGGCACAGATATCCTCTCAAGTAGGTATCTTCTCATGAAGGAACATGCTGAAAGAGGAGGATGCCGTCCTCTTTTGAGCTCCAAGGGCTGGTTCAGTTATGGGAAGAAAAACCAAAAGATATTTATGTAAGTCAGGTTTGTGTGAAGTTCCATTCTGAGTTTCCAGCATTTGATGAAACAAACAAGAAGGAGATTACGTGGCTTTGGAAGGAGGTTGCTCCTTCTTTTCTTTTTTTCTCTCTTCATTGTTTTTGTTTTGTTGCAGAAAAGTTGTTCTAGCTTTTGGCACAGATTGGTGGAGCTCTTCTATGGAAACGACGCACCATCTTTGAAACAAGCATACTATGCTTTAGCTGTTGTGTTCTGCATTGGTCCGGAGAAGGCAAATACGTCACAGACGGAATATGACTTAGCTCGTTTGGACACGCAATCTGGTTGAACTTGAGGCGTTTAGCATTGTCCGTCGCAGCTTGTTCCCTTTTATTCGCTGAATAGGTAACGAAAGTCAGAATGTGAAACAAGAATTCTCACCACGGGGAAAACGCAAACCGTGCTCCTAGAAAAAATATGAACACAACTTCTTCCATGGCTTCCTTGCGCTTGTGTCTCTATAGAATACGAATTATATGTGTCTAGAACAATGCCAACAGAAAGGAAGAAGAGAAATGAGATTTTTTCTGGTGTGGTTTGAGTGAATTGAGCATGCATGTTTCTGAGAATGAGCCCCAAACGTCGAGCTCCATCGCCTGAGCACAAGCTCTCGGTTCAAAGCCTTGAGCTTCTAAACTCCCAAAGTTCGAGGAGAAAAATCAATCTAGCGAGGCTCCAAATTCCTTATAGCGCTTGTAACAGCAAACCTTTAAAATCTTTTAGTATCCAAATATCTTATAAGAGATGAGTTCGTCCAGATGCAAACTTGCCTTCGATCAACCACGGGAGCCAAGAGCTTCTTCCAGGTTGAATCCACCAGGGAGAGTTTCGCCACCCTCCTCAAATCATGCGCAAGAGCCAACGATTTGGCCACCGGCCGGGCGCTCCACTTCCAGATCCTCCACAGCGGTCACAACGGGGACAAGCTCCTGGACGAACTCCTCCTCCAAATGTATGGCAAGTGCGGCAGCGTGGAGGACGCCCGGCTCGTCTTCTCCCAGATGCGCCATCCAGGCCTTTCCTCCTGGAACATGATGATCGCCGCGTATGCCCGCAATGGGCATCTGGGACACGCCAAGAACACCTTCGATCGAATGCCGTGCCGCGATTCTGTCTCGTCCAACACCATGATCTGGGCTTTCTCGCTGGGATCGAATCTCTCTGCCGTGAAGAACACCTTTGATCTCATGCCCGAGAGAGATCTTCGCTCCTGGAACTCACTCGTCGCAGCAAATGCCCAAAAGGGGGATACCCATCTCGCCAAGAGGGCGTTTGATCGTATGCCCGCCCGCGATGGCGTCTCTTGGAACGCGATCCTCTCGGCTTGCCTCGACAATCCGGATGCCGCGCAGGGGATCTTCCACGACTGCCCCGATCGAAGCATTGCATCGTGGAGCAGCGTGATCCAGGCGGTGATTGCCGCTGGGCAGATCCACCGCGCGGTGGAGATTTTCGAGCTCATGCCTGCTCGCGATGTCTGGGTCTGGAATGCGATCGTCACGGCGCATGGAGCGAGCTCCAATCCGGCCGCGGCGAAGAAAGCTTTCGATCAAATGCCCGGAAGAGATGTGGTAGCGTGGAGCTCGCTCATCCAGACTCTCCTCCAGTCCTCGAATCACTTCGCTACCGCGGAAGAGGCGTTCCAGCGATTGCCGGCCAGGAATGTGGTCTCCTGGACGATGATCTTGCTAGCGCGATCGCAGCGCTGCGACCTGGCGGCCACGAAATCCCTCTTCTCCGCCATGCCCCAGCGCGATCTGGTGGCCTGGAACGCGCTCATCACCGCGCACGCGCAGTGCTACCAGGAATCCAAAGCCATCTTCGATCGAATGCCCGCCCAGAGCATCGCGTCCTGGAATTGCCTGATCACATCCCTGTCGCTGGGCAAGAACACCGAGACCGCGAGGCAGATCTTCGACGCGATGCCACAGCAGGATTCCAACACCTGGGCCGCGATCATCACCGCCTACGCGCAGAACGGCCGCCTGGATCAAGCGCACGAGATCTTCCAAACCCTAGCGCTCCAAGATCGCCAAGAACAGGGCCAAGAACCCCAAGAACACCGCAATCTCGCGGCCTGGAACGCGATCATCGCCGCGCACGCGCAATTCGGCAATGGCGCCGACGCCGTCGCGCTGCTCCACGCGATGCTGCTCGAGGGATCGTCCTCCCCGTCCGACGGCTCCTTCCTGGGCGCCCTCAATGGATGCGCCCACGCCGGGCTCGTGGAAGAGAGCCGATCGATCTTCCAGGCGATGGCGAGCGACTATTCGATCGCGCCGCGGCTGGAGCACTACTGCTGCGTGATGGAGGCGCTGGGGCGAGTGGGGCAGCTGGATCGCGCCGAGGAGCTCATGGCCGCCATGCCCTATTTGCCCGACGAGGTGGCGTGGGTGGGGTTTGTGGGCATCTTCCAGATCCATGGGCAAGTGACGAGGGCGGCGGCGGCCGCGCAGCAATTCGTGGATGCCAATCCGGCGAGCGCCACTGCCCAGGTGCTGCGATCGGTGGTTCTTCGCTGGGCGGCGTCTGGCGCGCAAAACCGAGAAATTTGAAATAAGAATATTTTCTGTCAAACTCTGGTATATGCTCGCATTTAGTTAAACTGAGATTAATTTTGTTTTAGTCAGATTAATTTTAAATTAGTTTGTTTTAACCATTGTTAAAATAGTATGCTTTTAATTCTTTAGTGTTGTTATATTTTATTAGTGTTAAAATGGATTGGATACATTAAACATTAAGAAGTTTGGAGTTCATCGAATTGTTTTTACCTGAAGCAACACAGCAAAGCAAACTATACAACAAACCTGGAGGAAGAAAAGGATTGAGCAGCAGCGCTACGAACATGCAACACCTGTCAAACCCACAGTTTTTGAACAGCCGCGGACAGACAGTGTGGATCCAAAAATCTTACCAATCCATCGTCCCAGTTTTTGGAACTTTTGTCGCAATAAACACTGCCCAGATTCAATGCTTCCGCAAGATGATTCTCTCTTTCTCCTCTTCTCCAACTTAACAGCTTCGCGAGCTCGCTTACTCTATTGCCAGATTCTCACGGCCGCCGCCTGCAAAAAAACAGCATTCGCTTACAAACCTCTATAAAATCCACGACTCAAGAACCAGAGGAAGATAAAACTTCGTACCTTTTGTCTTGTACGAATGTTGGAGATGAAGCCACCGCTCTTCGTTGCGTGCTTCCTGCTTGCCGCCATCACCTGTAAGTCCATTTTTTCTTAGCAACTGGTCTCAAAGCTGTGGTTTTACCCTGCCATGAATCAGCAGGTGGAGCACATACCTGTGGCAAGTTGCGGGAGATCGAGAAGGGAGATACTTGTCTGTCGCTCAGTCAAGCTCTTAACTTGACACTCCAAGACTTCATGCTCCTCAATCCCAAGACGAACTGCAGCAGCTTGATCGTTGGCGAGGAGATCTGTGCTTCTTCCTGCTTCCGAAAACTGGTTTCTCCCAGATACGGCCAACGCCCTGTGGTCATGGATTACATTGGTGCTATGGGAAACTCCACCGCCTTCGACGACGTTCCAGTGTCACCAGATGTCGACCACTTTTTCATCCTCTCCTTCGCCATCGACGCAAATCGTTCCGGAATCGTTCAAAACGGGAGCTTCATCAGCTACTGGAGTGATGGTCTCACGCCAGAGAGCGTCTCTGCGATAAAATCCAAGCACCAAAACGTCAAAGTCCTGCTCAGTCTGGCTGGCTACAGCTTACAAGTCGATGGTCAGTCGGATCCTTGGATCGTTCGCTGGTATGACCCCTCCGACGCCGACCTGTGGATCGACAACGCAGTCAAGTCCATTAGCGCGCTCGTGCAAAAGTATCACCTGGACGGCGTCGACATCGACTACGAAAGCATGGACGACCCAAGCAACTTACGTCTCTTCCCGTTTTGCATCGGAGAACTGATCAAGGCTCTCAAGAGGAACAAAGTGATCAGCGTTGCCACCATCGCACCTTACGGAGCTTCGGCCCCTTACTACCGGAGCCTCCTCCGGTACTATGGCGACCAGTTCGACTACATCAACTTCCAGTTCTACTCCTACAGCAACGTCACCAATGCATACGACTACGTGCAACTCTATCACTGGATAGCCCAGGGATTCGACGAGAACAAGCTGATGGTCAGTCTAGAAATCGACGGGACTTCGGGACGAGGAGTGCAAGGAGCGGAATTTTTCAAAGCTGTGGAAGAGATAAAAAAGACACGCAAAGTACCGGGGATGTTCCTATGGTCTGCTGAAGGCTCTCAAGAAACCGGGTTCCTTGTAGAGAAGGTAGCACAATGCACACTTTAGATGGAAGAAAAGCTCTATAGATGGAAGAAGCACTCTAGATGGAAGAAGCATAAAATACATTGAGATTCAGAGCTAAGAGAAATCGAAGAAGGATAGACACAAGTACCTCCTAGCTAATAAGCTGGAATTCGCGAATAAGAGTACCCTTTGAACCCACGCCACGAGTAATACGCGATCCTCGTCTCATAGAACCCTGCCACGAGAAGCCACACAAGATATGAAACACAAAGAAGGGAAAAACTCCTTACCTGGTAGAAAAACTAGAATTCCCAGCAGCAAGAACCCAAACGCCTGCGATGTCTCTCCGCCGATGTGAGCCGTGAATATCAGATGCGAGATTACGATGAAAATCGTCCCACAGAGCAGCAAGGCGATTGCTAGCAGGATTGATTTCCAAGGCACTTGATCGGGGATATCATACCTAAACCGCAGATCCTCGCCAGCAGGGCCATAATCATCAAAATTTCTCCTCCCGCCCTGCGATCGGCTCAATCCCTCGCTCGTCGGGACTCTGGAGTAGCGCGTTTCTCTCATTTTCTCTCAAGAACCCTAAAATTTCTTCCAAGGGAAAAATAGTATATGCCCCGAGAGAATCTTCTAGGCATATTCAACCGTCGTCCATGGGATGTCCCTTGATCCAGCAGCTTAGGTCTTGCAATTCCCTGGCCGAGGCTCATCAAATTCACGCCCAGATCCGTTGCGACGGCCTGGGCGTCGATTCCTACACCTGCAATGTGATGATCCAGGCCTATGGTCGATGCGGCAGCGCCCAGCAAGCCCGATTGATCTTCGATGCAATGAAGAGCAGGGACAAATTCTCCTGGGACTCGATCCTCACGGCCTACACCCGCAATGGGCACCTGGAAGAAGCCTGGTTGATCTACAACGCCATGGAGGAATGGGGGCTCTTTGCGATGAATGCGATGCTGGGCGCGCTGGCGTCGATCGGCAGCATCCACGATGCCAAGCAATTCTTCGATTCGATGCCCGGGAGGGACCTTGTCTCCTGGACGCTGCTGCTCAACGCCCTGACACGACTGGGGCTCTTGGACGAGGCCCAGGAGCTCTTCAATCGATTCCCCGAGACTGATCTAGTGGCCTGGACGACGGTGTTGATTTGGCACGCGCGTGGTGGGAGGCTAGCGCGCGCAAAATCTCTGTTCGATGCGATGCCGGAGCGCGATCTCGTCTCCTGGACTGCGTTGTTTTGGGCATTTGCCCAGGCGGGGAATCTCCAGGAAGCTAAAGAGCTATTCGATTCCATTCCGGAACGCGACACTGTAGCGTGGACGGCCATGATGTCGGCGTACGGCCAGAATGGCCACCTGATGGATGCCAGAAAGACGTTCGATTCCATTCCGGAACGGAATATCTACACGTGGACGGACATGATGATAACATATGCTGAAAGCGGGCATCTGGGTTTTGCAAAGAGAATGTTCGATTCTATGCCGGAATGGAATCTTGTGTCGTGCACCGCCATGCTAATAGCTTACGCGCGATCGGGACATTCTAAAGATGCCGAAAGAATATTCTATGCTATGAAAGAAACCAACACGTACACGTGGACGGCAATGATTGCGGCATTTGCCCAACACGGCCAAGTGGAGAAAGCAAAGGAGCTCTTTGAGAGAATGCCCGAGATTAACTTGTACGTGTTAACATCATTGTTGTCAGCTTACGCTCAAAACGGGTATCTTAAACACAGTAAGCTTATCTTTGATCAGATGGAAGAACATTCCATAATTTCGTGGAATGTGATGCTAGATATGTACGCCCAAGCCGGGCATTTGGAGGAATTGAAGTGCCTATTTGATTCTATGCAAGAAAAAGACCTAAGTTCTTACAATATAATGCTGTCAAGCTTTGCCCAACATGGTTACCTTAAAGAAGCGAAACTAATTTTTGATAAAATGGAAATCAGAAATCTAATATCATGGACTGCCTTACTTACTGCATATACCCAAAACGGTCATCTGGATCGAGCCAAAAGGACATTTCAAGGCTTGCTAAGCCAAGATGTAATCCTTTGGAACTCGATTATTGGTGGCTTCGCACAAAATGTAGAGTCAAGGGAAGCGATCCAGCTCTTTTACGAGATGAATCTTGTGGAAACCCCGGACGAAGTCACATTTTTGTGTGTGCTCCTGGCGTGGTCACACAAAGGAGAGGTGTTCTCTGGAAGAAACTTGTTCCGATCGATTTGCTTTGATTTTGAAATGGCCCACAAGAAGCAGCATTACAGCTGCTTTCTGGGATTGCTCAGTCGAGCTGGTTACTTGAGCGAGGCTGAAGAACTCATAGCCACCATGCCATTTGCGGCCGAGAATTTAGACTGGACGTGCCTATTAGGAGCCTGTAAGAGTTACAGGGATGAGAAGCGAGGAAGTTTTGCGAGTCAAAACGTCTTGGGCTTGGACCCATCGAATGGTTCCGCTTATGTGTTGCTAGCAAATCTGTATTCGGCAAAAGAGAGAAAGAAAATTCCACATGTCATGTCGTGAATGACTGCGACGTTGGCAGCACCAGTGCAGCATGATGGTTTATAACACAAAACGGGGCGTACACTGGTCACCCTGACATCTTCAAGCTATTACATTCTCTAGAACAATGCATTTTTTTTATAATAGAAATCAGGGGACTAAAGAACTTAAATTTGTAATTTAATATTACAATATCATTTAAACAACTGCATAATGCTACGTGATCGCCATTCAAAATCTAATGGTTGGAATGTATCAGTTCTGGAGCCCGTCCTTGCTCCGGTCAAACGTTTACGCCATCCCGACCTTGAGCAAGAGGCTGCTCAAGAGCCGAGAGCCTGAGTCAAGAGGGTGTTGCTCTCCTTGTGGATGATCTCGAGCGAGTGACTTCAAGTCTGGAGTCACATCGACGCAGACCAAGGCCGAGAAAGGTGGTGCAAAGCTTTTTCCTTGAAGCTGTTATGTAGACTTGAGATTGGGATGCAGCAGCAATCCATACTTGAGGCTGCTGCTGCCGGCACGATGTGAACGCAATTTTGTCAACTCGGACACATTCTAGCCTCATTAGTCTGAAAAGCTTTGCTCTGATACCACTATACTCGTCTCTTCAAGGCTGCCACATTTGTTTCCAAACCTCCATAGCATGAACTTGTCCACAGAGCTGTAGCACTTGCTGGATAGTTCTGGATAGTTCTTCACAGATGAACTTCCTTCTCCTCTTGTCTCGGCCTGTAGAGTTTGCTGGAAAGAAAGCCAAGAGTACAAGCTGGCACAATGACTGGGCTTTAAGGCCTTGTTTGGGACGCCACATCGTCCAGATGTATGATTGTGCAACATGGAAAAAAGTCGCACAGCTGCTGCTTCTTACTAATGATTCAGGGATCCAAACTTCTTAAAAACAGCTATTGAAAAGAAATTAAATTTAAACCAAACAATAGAATGTTTATAAATTATAAATAAGTTTAAAATTAATAAACTTTATAATACCACTATAATTTTACCATCATATTTCATAATATTTTATGATTTCTCTCTCTCTATATGTATGTGTTTATCTAGAATATGCTTGTATATTCTGGGATATTCTCCATTTAATATTTAAATTAATTTTTTATTTTTTATTAATTGTGAGGTTCAAGTATATGGCTATGATGTTGTATACTAATATTAGTGGGATTTTGGTCCATATTCCATGCACTCACATTGGTGAAAGTGAAGGGCAATTTTATATATCCCTAAGGAGTGCTAGGATTTGGGATTTTAGTTTAAATCTAGTTCTTACATTGTCTAAATCTCCATTTTCTTATAGCTTTTCTTAACTTCTTCTTTTTGTTTTTTCATTTTCATTCATTTTCATTCATCTTCATGACAGAGTAGCAACCTCCTCCTCTTTTGACTATGAAGCAATAGTTGGTGCAATTACTTGATACTATACAGTTGTAATTAAATAATCAAACTCAATTAATAGCAACATTAACAACATGTGGTACAACTCTTCTGACTCTTATTGCTAATCCTCACATCCGGCTGGAGTTCTTTTCTAGGAATCCTAAGAATGATGTATACCATTGGTTTGATCACTTTAAAGTGATTGCCACATATCATTCTTGGGATGATGCTCAGTGTTTATTGTAAGCCACAAATTTTTCCTTTCCAATTTGCCAGCTTACCTCGACTATCCGACCAACTCTGCCTTGGCTTGTGCTAAGTTCCCTCGCCAGAGTTCTCGCCTATGGTACCAGCTCCTACTTGCTCCTACTTGGTTTCAGCTACTCACTGCACGAGCAACGGAGTGTTAGCCATCCATCTACGGATTCCCAAATCTCTCCCAATCCCCCTCCCCGGGTTAGACTGGACTTAAGGTTCGGCTACACTCCCCGCAGGCACAAGCAACCAAGCATACCAAGCTTCCAGATTCCTAACACCCCAAGGTACCACAAGACTTGATCATGGGACCCTCTAAATCCCAAGCCTTGGGTGTAGCACTTGCTTCGGGACGTCGGGGCGAAACACCGTGGCCTAACGGCCCGGTATGGGTACCTCTCGCCC